TATATATATATATATATATATAATATTATGTTTAAATATGTAAATTATATTTGAAATTAGTATATATAAATATTTTTAAACATATAAATCATATTTTATATTTATGATAAATAGTTTGTGTTGTAACAAAAAAATTATTTTTATTTGTTGATAATTTATTTTAAAATATAAATATTTAATTCACAAATAATTATGATAAATAAAAATCAAATTAAATAAAAAATTAAAAAATTCTTACAAACTCTTTTATTATAGATTTTTTTTATAAAAAAACTCTCACATAAAATATTGATTAATATTTAATGTGTAAAAATTAATTAAAATCAAACTATACATAATTTATTTATTTAATTCAAATAAATTTAATAAAAATCGAGCCAAATCGCATTCAAATGCCCATTCTTCTTCTTGATAAGGAAAAATGAGTTAAAAAAAGTCCCTATTTAAATGCCCCAAGTAAAATGTAAAAAATAAAATGATGGGATATATCATAGTATTACTGTTCAAACCATTGGCATGTGCGATTGCAACTATGATATGATGGCTTCCTGTTTATGAGTTTGCATTATCATGGGCTGGTGAATTTCCCCGAATCCGTAACATATCTCACGTTTTTTAAAGGATAATATTTTTTATTATCATTATTATAGGACAAAATGATTGCAACAACAAAAAAATATCTTAACTTGTAGAAGAAAATGATGAATTCAATGGATGACATCACTATAATTATCAAGCATATATGAGAAGAAAAACAGAGTGGTGGAGAATTGTAAACCCAGCACCATAGTTGGTGTTGATTTGATTTGGTGATGGCAATGCATGATAATGTACTACTCAAGGTATTTTTTTAGTTGTATTATTAATATTATTGATATAAAATATTAACCAATTTTATCGATTATTGATATCTGCTGAAAAAATTGAATAAAATTTTTAGTGAGATTTTTTCTTTTCATCACATTTTTATTATGCATAATATTTAAACTCAAAATTTTATTTTAAAAAATTGAATTTAATATTTAAACCAATAATTTATTATTGACCATTATTCTACCTATCACTTAAATCTCATGGCATTTTATTAATTAACTTGATTGTAGTGTTAGAACAGAAGATATTTAATAAATATATAAGAATGAAAAAGGTATAACAATTTTAAGAAATGAAATATCATCTAGATTTATCCAATTAATTGTCTTAAATCATATATTTGATATAATCAGTTGCATTAATATAAAATCACAGGACCTTGAAAATATGAGGCCTAAAACCGCTGCTTTAATTACTTGGAGTAACTTCAGAAAGAAATTGTTTGGACTTAAACCTAATTTAAATATAATTCATGTAAAATTAAGGGTATGGTTGACTTTAAATTTTAAAAAATAATTTTAGTATTTAAAATACAACTAAAATAAGGTTTTTCAAAATGAATAAGGTGTTAAGCTTGCCCCAAATGCTGATGCTAGGGGCATTTCTTTTCCCATCTACCAAAAATAAAAGAAAATTATGAAAAATGGTGTAAGGCAAAAAGTAAATAATTAATGCAAGGGAAGACTGAATTACATATTTAAATAATGAGAACATTTCCTAATTGTAATTATTTGTTTTTAAAATAACCGTCTCACATGTTTAAATAATGAGAACATTTCCCATAACTTCAGATTGTTGAGATGGCCGAGTTGGTCTAAGGCGCCAGATTAAGGTTCTGGTCCGAAAGGGCGTGGGTTCAAATCCCACTCTCAACAACAAACCTTTTTTTTATTTATTTAATTATAATAAATTTCTTCTCGTTCTTCTTTTCCTCGATGTAATTAACTGGGTTGACCTAAGAACATAATGTTTATTTAATTGTGGACCAAGTTTTGCTCAACCTAACACATTGATTTGAAGTCTGTTGAACTCAATGCAAGTCATCAAACTGAAAAACTGTTTAGAAACAGCGTTGTGGCAAAACCCATCGTACCTAAATGGCTAAATCCATCCATCTTCTGAAAGAGTGAAACCATGTATTTAGGGGAATAGCATCTTTTTCTTTTTTGACTTGACAGCACAATGATATCTCATCGATGCATAATCAGTCAAACTTAGGTGAAATATAATAATGCATTATACATTTAAGATTTATTATATTTTAATGCTATTACGTTTATTTTTCCCATCCAATTATTTTTGATTAAGTAGATTAACAGATTAACTATCTAACAGTAATATTATTGTCTAAAAACAAACTCGCAAACATTTTCTCAACGGCCAAAACTTTTGTTTCAAAATTGCATCATTCACATTTCTGATCAGCGATGAATTAACTTGTAATCTGGGCACCGAATCCACCAAATTTGGGGAAAGTGCAGCATTGACATCACTCTTCCATGGGATGATTGTCCTCTGATTGTTGTCGGGAAACCCCAACTTTGACCTTGGGCAAGGTGAGAGAAGGGTCCTTTTGAAGCACAGATGGAGCTTTGACCAGACTGATGCCCTGCTTCAACTCCCTAACTGCCTCCATCTGCAGCTTCTGCTTCTTGCCTTTCATCCTATGGGAGATTTGACAGAATGTCAGTAGAGAGCGAAAAGAAAACACCTGTATTTTTAAAATTTTTAAGACTGAAAAACTAAGGTGGAGTCAAAGAATAACCTATTCTTGTGGTGTGCCTCCTCCCTGCTGACTCTGATTTTATCAATCTTTGGAATGGCCTTGAGGACACTCTCCGCAAGATTCCTGTCATATCTCTCAGGCCTGTTTCGCTTTCTCTCAAACTCAAAGGTTGAATCCTGAAACAACATGTAAATATAATAATGCTGAAGCTTCTGCAGACCAAGACAGTAGTCAACAACACATCATGTGTAACACATGTATAAGACCAGCACAATAAGGGAAATGGAGTTTCATTTACCTGTGTCATGGGAAAGAGAGTTTCATTTACCTGTGTCATATCCTTTCCATGCACTCGCCTATATGCCTTTGTCCATTTTACTTTCCGAGGGTTCCTCTTCATTTTAAAATTTTTGTGGCATTTAGATCTACAAAATCGAAAAATCTGAAGAACAGATGTCAGAGACCGTGTGACACAGACCTATGAACATAAAAAGGTATTCATCACCCATTGGACGTCTAGAGAGTTTTGAATACACACACATACGCTAACCTGCCAGTTACCATAGCCAACTTTGTTTGAAAACGCTATAATGAGATAGCATGATGCAAGATGGCCACAATTTTTAATAATATACAAACTAAATAATTTATTCTACACAAAAATACTAAAAGAAATAAAGAAATTCATCATAAATAATGTCAAGTTACACAAACAATCATTATCAATCTAGGAATAACAAGAACATTGTAATGAATTCAAAAAAATGAAAGATAATGGTGAAATTAATAGAAAAAGAACATAACAAATTAGATTAAAAAAATTAGCAAAATGTGAACTAGGAAGTTAAATGAAGGTAAAATAAACAAAGGTAACTTTTTCGTGGAATTCTCAAGGAAGAAGGGTTTCAAATCCTATTATGTTTCTAAAGCAAAAAATGCATAAGAAAAATGAGGAGAAATCACAATTTTATCAACAGAAAAAAAAAAAAAAAACTAAACATCACTGTTTTAAGAGTAAAAACTGAGTTTTTGACGCTTATATTATGGTAAAGCCGCTATTCTGGCTTCTATTGCATCCGCAATGCAATGGAAAAAATACCCTGCAATAGCAGATAATGCCTACTATTTTTATGCCAATTACTGGTGAAAATGAAATAGTGGTACAAACAATCAATTCAAGCATAAGATACAAATTTACCGAGTCCATCCATGATCTGTAAATAATAGAAGATTACAGTAGACAGTCAGGTTCAGAGCAAGGACCCTAAAATCTCAAACTACAAATGACTAGTAATTCTATACAAGGTTGAAGACTGCAGCTTTAGAAAGTAGCTAGCAACGTGGTTGAGCCTCATTTTCAGATCCCTTAATTGATCCAACAAGAGCAACCAATTGCATAACTAATAGTTCTCTAGTTGCGTGAACACAAACATACCAATGCATATAGGGCTGGAAACAAGTCTAATCAAGTCAAACCTAACTTAGCTCAACTTAACCAAATAAGAATTGGTTTAATTCAGAGTTGAGTTTTATAGAATCAATTTTTTCAACTCAAGTCCAACCCAACTTGATTTCATGAACTGTTTGGCTCAAATTGCAAACTGAAATCACGTGAACCAAAAAGAAAAATGATAGGTTACATAAATATCATCAAACATACTCTCTCTCTCTATTACACACACACAGATGTATACATGTCACTAGATGTATCCCATATAGGTAGAGCATGTTTGTTTTTATAGTTGAGAAGCTTCAAACGTACATTCAATTCAAAGTTACAAGACTCGTGAATTCAATTGAACGGGCATTGGAAAGTGTGCTGATGTTAAAACAAACGCACACTTAATCTTCATCTCAGGTTTGACACATTAGTTCATGAACCAAGACAGTTCATTGAGCTAATTAACAAGTCGAGTCTCAATGTAATTTCAATTTAGTTCAGTTTGTTTGCAGCCATAAGCACATAGATAAGATTTACAAGGAGAAAAATGTAGGAGATAGGTTTACCTTTGCATCATTACGAACAAACTGGATTCCATGTCCAGGGTATACGGTAGAAGAACAGAACCAACACTTTTCCAATCTCATTGTACCTCCAGACTAAGCCAACACCTCACTAAAAAAACACCAAAAAAGAAACAACACATTAAACAAATAAACAATATTGAATATTATGGATTGGACACATATTGACGATATCTACCATCTACTTATACGATTAAAATGTCAATACCAAGACATATGCAAATTGAACAATTGTATCAGCTAAATAATCTAAGGAATAAAGAAAATATCAACAAAAACCATAGACATTGACAAGTATTATAGTTACACCATATAGTGAACAGCGAAGAAAATCCTGCGGCAACAATTTTCAAAGCAAACACTTGTGATCTAAACAGAAATTCTAAATTATCGTTTACGCGTTCGTTAATTGATGAATGAATTGAGGGAGAGAAAAAAAGGCAAAGAAGAGGAGAACCTGAGGAATAGTGATGAACTGAAAATAGAGGGGTAGTTGGGGCGGCGTGGCTATTCACGTTTTGAGGGTTACACGGCGTGAGAATGGAGTGTAAAATAGTACTACAAGCTCCCATGGTTTATGGCGTGAACCAACTAAATACTAAAATTTTATGATAAATGTAGCATATATTTAGTATTAATTTAAGTTAAATTATATTTTTTTTTTATTTTAAAGGTTTTTTATCTTTTATCTTTTATCTTTTAAAAGGTTTATTTTATTCTTTTACATCTTAAATTTATATTGAATTGGTGATTTTTAAACAATTATTATTTTAAATTTTGATATATGATTTTAATTTTTTTTTGTTGATTTAAAATTTACAATTTACCTCATTAAATTCACTTAAATAAAAATTGTTGAAAGCAATAATTGAATTTTATAATTTTTATATAAGTGATTTAAATGTTACAAGTTTTTAATCTTGAATAAGTCAAAATTGATTTAAAATTGTACCATAAAATTGGAAAGACTATTGTTTTAAAAAATCAAATTGATTCAAATATAAAAGACTAAAATAAATATTTTAACAGATAAAAAAATGAATCTAAAAACTAAAATAAATGATTATAACTATCAATATTTTTAATTTAAAAATAAAACTGAGAGTGATAAATTTAATAAGCGATAAAAGGTTAAGAAAGTTTCCTAAAAATATTATCTATAAAGAAAAATAGTTAAAATTCCTAGTATTATTCAATAAAATTATTCTAAATGATATATAGAAGATTATTTATAGTTTATTTTAAAATAATACATAAATTGAAAATGATCTTTTTTTATTAATAAATTAAAAAGACATTTTAAATGATAAGAGAAACAACGAGGGTTTTAGATAAGCAATATTGCAGATCAAGTGTTCTGGATAGCAATGTTTTTGAATGAAATTTTAGGAATGGGTATTCCGAATTGTGCATTCTAATTTCTAAAAGACAAAATTTCGATGTGGGTGTTCTGAGGAATTACATGGTTTCAAATTAGCGATTCCAGAATGTAAAATCTGGATTGGGTGTTACTCCTAGTTTGAAAAGTATATATATATATATATATATATTACTCAAACAACAAGTCTACTTAGACTTACTTCGTTCAATAACTTATGTTCTATATCAAATTTTTACAATCTAACTGTTCAATTTAAAGTTCTTAATGCATAAATCAAATTTACAAATTTTTAAAAAATTTAAAAATTATTTGATACTTCGTTTCTCATTAATTCGAATTAATGTATAAAATAATTTTATGATTATCCATCAATTTGAATTAATGAAATACAGTATCAAATGATTTTCAAATTTTTTAAAAATTTGTAAATTTGATCTATGCATTAAGAACTTTAAATTGAACGGTTAGATCGTTAAAATTTAATGTAGAATATGAATTATTGAACAAAGTAATCTAGGTAGACTTATTCCTCAAGTAAAAAAATCCCTCCTCTATCTATCTATTTATATATATATATATATATAAACATGCATGGCTTAAAAAAAAAAAACACGGGTGCAAGAAGAAAATTCTTTCAATTGAATTGTGTCGGATTTATACATCTGTTCTGTCAAGCTTGAACAAAATCAACTACGTGTTAATTTAAGTCGAATTTATCGGACTCAAAAGGTAAAAAACTATTTTGAATTTCTAAAAATTATATTTTTTTTGTCCCTGCAATTTTAACACTACATGTTACTCTCAACGTCCATTATCCATTTTTAAATTTCATATAAGAAAAATATATGAATTCGCTGCGGTCGTATCAATTGTATTTGTCATTTTGTGTTTTTAACTTTTAAGATGATATTATTGTAATACAATCCCAAAATTTCTTTTAAATTTAAAAATTTACGTTAAGCAAAAAATTATAATTGGAAATTAAAAATAATTTACATTATGTGACACGGATTAGGAGAATAACCATGACAAATATACATGTCATCACAAACATGAGAAGCCAGGTTAAGCAAGAAGTCTTGGAACTCTCCGAGTAAATTGCCGTTGCTCGCACATTGGCACGACCGGTGCTTGCCAAGCTATGCTCAATAGCCTTCTCAGTTGAATCGAGTATCTGCAAGCCACCCACAATCAATTCTCATCGTTCAAACTCCCAAATGTGACATAATCATCAGCTACAAAACATGGTTATGACTCATGAATCAACACTATTAACATTATGAGAATCGGACCTTTTCAGTATTTTTCAGGGACTGACTCATCAGGAGACTACTCTCTTTGAGTTGTTTTGCCAACACCACCATCTCATCAGTCAAACCTTCTTGAAGGTTTCTAGAGTAAGAGATTGAACAAAATAAAATAGTTGAGTGAACAACCAAAAAAAAAAGCGATGCACAATAAATGCAAAGCATATAAAGAGTAAAGGTAAATGACTATAAAACGTATTGGTCCAGTACATTTGCGTAGATAATTTAATACCAATTGTGTAGGTATTGTTATCATACTGATAGTGATTCAGAAACATGCTAAGGACTAGTCATTGATGAGCAAATAATCCCCCAAATATATATGACCTTAGTAGTCTACCATGTTAAGCCAGTAACATATGGTAATGGGTAAGTTACCAACAATGTATCCCAACAATTGACTCTAATAGATCAGTGTTTGTCCTGAAGAAAAATACACTTCGTTGTTCAGACAAGTGACATATGAACGTAAGTTTTGTAAGTTATGGACTATTGGACTCTGAACCAAAGTAGTACTGAGTCTATTGATCACCATACATAAGCTTTAAAGTTTAAATAACAACTCAAGTAAACAGTACCTGTGCTTTTCAATGTGTGCATGTGCTGTAGCATCCAGTTTAACAGGTGATGTGTGGTCAGTCTCAATAGGCTCATGAGCTCTATCTTCGGTACTTGATGCAGGTCTGTCCAATGAATCAGATGAGCAACAATGAAACAGCCAGCCTACAAAATACACATAGTAGTAAGAAAGGCAAACTATCGCTTACACAGGCCTTCTTCTCAATCCAGAAGAAAGGAGTATCTGCTTTTTTTCCTCAATTTCAGAAGGGTTTTCTTTAACAAGATTCCTTTCAAAGTCCTTCTCGGATACTTGTGTGTCAGCCTGGGTTAAAAATTTGTGGTCAAATGACTGGCTATTTGGACAAAACTAAAAATACATGAAAAGGAAAATTCATAAATGAGCAAATTTTAAGACTTCATGATGCATTCCAACAGTAAAAAAAATTCAAGCCATTAAAAGTCTATATTTTATATGCACTTTTCACATACTATGATTTTCTGCATTGTGTAATAAATCCTAAAAGTTTGATTGATTAGGTGGGAAAAAGATGATGGAGTTATTATGACCCAAAGTGAAAATATGTTATGAATCCACGAGCAAAAAGAGATGAGAAATAGAGAGAAACCAGAAAGTGAACAAATGTGCAGAGGTTTATTAATTGAATCTCAACAGAAAAAGGAAATAGTACCTCGTCCAAGGCTTTCACCTTAAACAAAGGGCTTTCCCTTCTATAACTTAGCTAGTGCCGGGTGCTCCAATACTAACATTTAAATTCCTCTATTCTGCCCTTTCCCCCCCAATTAAGTTAAATCCCTGTTGTTACTATCCCTTTAACCGGTCCAACCACCTAGCAGTTTTAACTTTGTTATTCCATATAACTAATCTAATCACTTTATCTCACATCTGCTGACTTTCTTTTATTCTTCTCTCCTGGATCCTATCCAAATGAATATATTTATATTTCCATATTACATCCACCTCTAATTATAAATCTGAATTCTTACTTCTGAATAAGAGAATTTTTAGAATCTATTTTTTCTCTTAGTAAGCCACGTGGCTTCTCCTGCATCAAGTATGCCATAATTTATTTCCATAATTTCCTCTTTAATTTCAAAAGTATTCTCTTTAAATTATTCTTAGGATTAAACATCTTTTCAGTCTCTAAACTTTTGTCAATTTTTGTTTTTAGTCTTTGAACAAATTTTTTATTAATTTTAGTTCCTGAACTTTTGTCAAATTTCATTTTTAGTCCTTGAACCTTTTTTCCCATTAACATTTTGGTCTCTAGCATCAAAATTTTGGTTCATGCAGAAAACTTGCATGGACTAAAACCAAATAAAATTTGTTCAGGGACTAAAAACATCAATCTTTATTCTTATCTAACAAAACAGAATTTGCTTCCTACTTTTTTGAGGCAATTATCTACTTGGAGCAAGAAATAGGTGATGAAACAGTCATGCATTGAACTAAGTATTAGTTGAGCACCTGAGTTTGAGTTATTTCATGATGAAAATATGGGCCTTCTTTGTTTGGCTTTAAAAATGAGTTGTTTTCATTTTAGCTCATCCTTTACCCTTCTTTTTTTCCCCAACACCCATAATACCATCCTAGTTCTATCCCATCTAAAAGTTGGTAAGTGCACTGCAGAGCTGGTTTGTTCTTTAAATAACATAAATAAATAAATGAAATACTAGCTGCTTCACCGGTTCCTGAAGAAAATTCAAATACATAAATTCCACCCTTTCTTAATGAAATTTTCCTTTTAGATTAGACAGGGTAGACAACGGAACCTTAAATGTTTAGTCAGTCTAAACTCTAAAGATCTTCTTTACATTTCAATAGCTCTCCAAGATACATAAATTCACTTATATATACCACATGGTTAACCAACTTGGAAGCAATGGCTTCAATCTTCTCTGAATAATCATTCAACATAGCCTTTGAAATCCTGCATAACCAGAGCAAAGCATATACACATAAATGAATGCACTCATATTCTGCAGAGAAACACATAAAAAGTAGGAGGAATATTAACAGCTTTAATTTACAAGTTACAATGGAGAAGGGAAGATAATGGACTGTCTAGGGGAGGTAGAAGATGAAACAATAATCATGTCAGCTTACTTTACAGAAATATAACCATTTCTATAACCCAATATTATATCAGAGTTGCAAGGCAGGAAAGTACAGCTTTTGTTCAGTGCGAGCAATATTTTCAAGAGAACTCACTGTTAATTCTATTCTTTTATTCCCCAGCCTGCTGGACCTGTATGTATTGTGGTGGTACTCCTATTATGATAGGTATGTTATTGATTGCTTTATATTTGTTCTTGGCCTAGAATATTAGTATAAATAAAAGCATTAGATTACTACTACTCATATCACAGCAATAAAGCATCATTCTCTCCCTTTTTCCATTCCGTTTCCAAAAATTTCAACAAGTATTAATTTCTACCATTCATCTGTTCAAACCAAACTACACCCATTCAGAAGAAAATCCTACTCTACTTAATAGAAAAATATCTGGATGGAAAAAAATTGGATGGCCATATTATGTTTTGATCGTGTTTAGGGTAAACTGTAAAGTGTGTCTATAAGTTTCACTTATAATTCCTTGAAATCTTTGTGTATCAGATTGCAAATAGACACACAATACCTTGGTAAGCCTTCTGGTGTCCTTTCTTCAGCCAACTGTTCCAATTGTTCACGCAAAGTGGCGACATACTGCAGCATGCCAGAATCAACAAATGATTAAGTTTGTGTTTGCCAGAATCAACAAATGTCTAAACTAATAAAACATATATTTCAAGAAAATTAGAAAAGACTGTAAACATAACAACCCTATTAACTTCAAAATAAATAGTCAGCACACATACATGCACAAGTTTGGCCTGGTTTTCCTGCTGAGGAGCAGCTGCAAGCAACCTCCGTAAGTTTACTTCCGTTTTACTGATTCCCATTCCTTCAGTGTTGAGAAATTTTAATAATTACCTATAAATCAAACATCACCAGGCACAGAAATGAGGTAATTATTCACAATCATTTAGCGGAAAGGGAAAAAAACGGAAGGGGAAAAAAAGCAACAGAATCCAACAGAGAAAGAGAGCAAATTATTTTAACTAGAAAAGACAATTAGCAATGCAATCAATAAAGTTACCAGTGGAATCTCGAATCAACTGCTTCCTCCACCTTTCAATTGAAGAACTACTCTCTCTCTCTCTCTCTCGGTGCAGAAGAGGTGTAAACTGTAAAGTGTAAACTACTCGGGTGTTAACGGTTTTTCCAGAATGAAGAGCAACACTCGCTTGAAGAAAATGTTTTGGACCAAGCAATTGAGTTTGGGCCTTACCGGACCAGAAAGGTGCATTTGAGCCCAATGTATTTTGGGTATTTGGGCCAGAGTAAGGTAGAGAAAGAAACCCTTAAATGTCTATTCGTTAACACCGCCTTATATTTTATAAAATTTACGATTTTAGTCTAACTATTAAATATCTATTTGTCAATGGTAAAATTAGAATATTAATTATATAACATTAAATAAATATTAAATAATATTTAAAATTAAATTATATTTGTAATTTTATTTTTATCTCATACAAGTAATAAAAAGAGATGAATAGGATAAAATGATGACCAAAAATATAATTTAACTTAAATATTAATTTTATATCATTTACTTAAGTCAGATAATGATGAATGTTATAATTTTAATTATTAACAAATCAACATTTAGCAATTAGATTAAAATTATGAATTTTATAAAATTTGTTGACTAAAATTGTTGAATAAAAATTAAGAGACTATAATTATGAATCAAACATTGAAAATTTTTACCTATATCCAAAGTCTTTAGTTCTACCTTTGTTTTTTTATAAACTTTCCAAATTACCATGTTCTATTTTGGAACACTCAATCTAAAATTGTCATTTTGAAACATTATTATCTAGAACATCCAATTAAAAAAAAAATATGTTTATCCAAAACATTTAATCTGAAATACAATTTTTTTTTGAACATCCATTTTGGATAAATATCATTTCAAATTGGTTGTTCTAGATAAACGTCATCCAAGTACAAATTTAACAGTCTGAAATAACTATTTTAAAAAAATTAAAACACGTTATGGAGACTATAAAAAGAAGTAAAAAGATAAAAGAATACATCTCCAATAAACAAGGACAACATAATAATGATCAACCAATATTCTAGATGAAAGTAGTTCTTCACAACATTCTTCACGTTTGCAATGAGGGAGAATGACGTGGGATAGGAGAAGGATTTCAAAAATTAATGAGAAGGGTGTGGAAAGGATAAGTGAAGAGTGAAAGGAAAGGGAAGGGCATTTTATGGATTTTTAATTTATTTTTTGTTCATGTATGAAGTAATTGAAATGGTCTAGGAAACAATTCATCAGAGTTTATTTCCAATTTAGCAAATTTAAACGACTCATCATATATTTAGGCATAGTTCTTCTTTCTTGAAAGTCATGATAGTAGAATAATATTTCATAATCAAAATGACATTGATGAGAGAAGTCCAAAAGAAATACCTAAAAATTGGTCATAACAAGATGATAATTAAATCAACTTGTTAGTATTTATTTGACTTTAAAGTTAAAAAAATTATGCTTAAAAAATGTAAGAATAACAATTTTTTTTATTATTAGCTAAAATTTGTTAAAATGATAAAGTTGTATTAATGATACTCCTTTCATGAACATTATGGGTGATTTTATAATTTTTAATAAGTTTTAAATATTATAAGATGATGAGTCAAAATAAAATGTTAGAAAATATATTAGTAGCACTCTCTATTTGTTTTGAATATGTTGAATTAGACTTTTTTTATTTATGAAAGTTAGAAGGAAGGTCAAAAATGTAAATGCGTATTTCACCTCTAAATCCATCTTATACTATAAAATTATAAATACACATAGAAATGTTAAGGGCACTCTTTTTAATATCTTTTCTAACAAGAGAGATTTATTAAATAAGACGAAAGACTCCTTAAAAATTATAATTTCTAATAATTTTTAATCAATAATATTTATAGTGTTAGAAAAGAATATGACTATCATTCTTCTACATATAATTAAATATGCACATACACATAGTTAAAAATGGATTTTAACTCATTTTTCATCATTATTAAAAATACAAATTAATAATTGAAATAGTTAAATAACGTTGAGATCACCCACTTCATTAAAACACAATTTAGTTGTTATTTTTATATAATAAAAAAAAAAATTGGTGCCTATTTTTATACATTCATAAATCATAATACTGAATGGACAGTTCAGCCATATCATGATCCACAAGACCACAGAAACTGGGGGAGCCATATCTTGATGACTTTTGAGTTCAATTATTACGTAGAAAACCTCTATGGCGGATAGTGTCATGTTTATAGATATCCAAAGTTCCTGATTCGCGGTTATAATACTCAAATCAATCGATTACTGCGTTGAATATTCTAAGAAACTATCATGATTTTTTGCTATAATATACCTATTTTAATGGCAATGGCAATCAAGACTCTCCTTGTCCGGGTCATGGCCTGCTTTTCTCAAACACAAAACTGAATGAGTCAATTTCAGAAGAGAATAATCTACCATACAGAGCACCGCAATTTTTGCATCATTATCCCTACACTAAATAATTAACCTCTAAAGTATTCAAAATAGTTTTGTTCCAATCATATGTGTCTAACATTTCTAACACAACCGCATGCGCAATTGCATCGCACACATAGCATAATTTTGTAGATTATAATAACACAATGTGACATTAATTTTGTAGGAAAAAATAATCAAGAGATGGGAATTAATTGTTTGCGTTCTTGAGGTGAAATGGGCAAAAACATTTATGTGTATGTAGTACTACTACTTTTTCTCATAGTAGTTCGAATTTTGTCTTATTTTTGCCATGTGAAATATGTTAGATGCAACTAAGGAACTATTACTTCAGATGATGAGGATCCATCATCCATTATCTTTGGTTCTGGGTTGGGCTACGTCGTTGTTAGAGAGATAGATCCAGCCACGTCATACTGAGGAGAATCACATTTTTCTTTTGTTTTTTTGAGTTGTTAATATTAAAAGAATCACTTTTTGCATGGATAATATATTGACACTTCTTTCATGGTTTATGTTTATTGATATTTAGAACGTTAACTTGTGGATGCATTTTCATTGAAAAATCTTAAATACTATAATTATAGTTATTCAGATAAACTGATAAAATAACACGATGGATATTGCAAGATATGTGATGTGGGTATAGATATTTTGAATAAACTTGTAAATTTTTTGATATGATTAGTTTTCTTGTTATGGCAAGTTGCTTTCATCATGAAACGGCTAGTAGGTGTTTGGGGACTTTGGATAAGAACATTCTCTGCATTCGAAACCTCCAAAAGTAGCCGTTGCTTTCTTTCTTCACTCGAGTCTTTGCACCATAGTTTACAGCTAGCAATAGCATTTAATATTATTTTGTATTTTTCCTGTTTTTCTCATTGCCTTTTTCAGCTCATCTCAATAATTATTATAGTTCTTGATAACTTGTGAAGTGTACCCTACCATCACCATGCCTTCGTTTTCTACATGTGTCGTTTCTCACTTGCTGACACCATCATCGGGGACCCATCTTTTCATTAACCAACACATTTTTGTTTACTATTTTTCTTTTTTTCGATTTTCTCTCCGTTCAAGAACGACCACCATTAACCAAGACCTTTATCATAGGAGGGTTATTAATTTAAACTTCAGTTTTAAACTTAGGTTTATGGGTTTAAGGGAAGTTTAGATAAACTTTGTAAGGTAATGTTATGATGGAGACTTTTAATATAATTTTTAAAAATGGGCTTTAATTCGATTTTGCATCTAATTCATTCGTAAACTCTATTTTAAATATTTAGAATTATTAATATGTAGACAACAAAAGTAAATCCAATTCAATCCAAAAGGGCTAATGCCTACGCAATTAGATATGAACCCAAGTATTCAGAAAGTGCTCCTCTTAACAAGGTTCTCTACTCTAGTTAGGTTTTGATGACATGACATATCTAAATGAAAATTAGTTGATCTAATGGTATGCAATGAGTTCAATTTATACTTTTTCATTAGTAATGTGCATTTTTGTCTAGTTTCTCTTTGTAGTTGATTTTGAATATAGCTCAATGCAAAAAAAACTTATGAATTATGATTATATATCACACTTACATATATATTATTTTGGTCACATTTACATATATTATTTTGGTCATATTATATTATAAGTTAACGCTAAATTTTTAAAATATTTTTCACATATTAAAGACTATATATATAAAATTTGTAAAACATTTCAAACGTAAAGCTTAGTCAACATTTGAAAATATTTTAGTGTAAATAAAGAATGAGTGATATATTTAAAAGTTGTTTTGAAATTACTCCAATTTCAAAACAATTTATTAGATCTAATATAGGATGTGTTTAACGAAATTAGAGTTTGACGAGAAGTCAAGCAAAAGAATGAAAAAAGTACTATAATAAAATAAAATAAAAATTGGTTGTCTAAAGTATCTTTTGATTTGAAACGTATTAGAGATTGATTTCTCTGAAAATTTATTTAAGAATTTTCTCCGACAGATATTCCTTCGTATATACGGACATGATGATTGAATCCCTCATCATATGTTATAAATTTTGGAGCATTTATTTTGGAAATAATTTTTATGAAAAATATTTTTATTTTAAGGAAATTACTTACTTATAAAAAAGTTGAATTTATAACTATAAAAAATGAAAATTATATTCTTGAAGTTATATTTTTCTAAACTACAAAATAAACCGACCCTTTAAGATCAAATTGTGTACTTTTTATGTTTAAAGATCAATATGGAATTTGTAATTCTAAACTAAAATGGGTAGATTGAAATTAGTGATAACTTTTTACCCAAATTAAAAAAGTGTAAAAGTTTCGAAATATGTGAATTTATTGCAAAACTTAAAAATAGTCATGAGATGGCGAATTTTTCTTGACATAATATAGCATTCATGAATGAGCTTGAAAGAAGGGATACTTCCTGCGGGTAAGTCTGGTGAAGCTTTGATCTTTACACCAAACTCCCAATTACATTTGACCTAGAAGAAGAAGGTAATGTTAATGATGATTTTGTTTGTGAATGCACCCCACCACCAAATCTAGTGTGCTTCGTTGCATGATGCTGAGCATGCTCTTGGGAAAATAAAAAGTGACTCATGTTTTTTCTCTTTTAAAGCCTTCGTAGCAAAAATGCCTCA